ACTTTGAATATTAGAAGTTATTTTTTAATTTTACGTCATCTATATATTAATATAAGAATGTCGTAGTAAAAACTTAATATCTGCAATCTAAAGACCTGATAATTTATTATATTTATAAGAAAAGGTTTTTATGAGAAAGAAAAGTATTGTTATCAACGAGCAGTGGAACGTTTCCTCACAATTGTACACACATGTGAGCTTTTAAGTAATGAGTTTTCTCAGGAAGTTCAAGTTTAATACCATCACATAATCTCGATTTTGATCAAATGAAACAAGGCAGAAAAGCACCTAAGGAAATAAAGAAGTGTACTTATTAATTTCTTTTTTATACTTTTTTATCAAATTTAAAGCATTTCAATACAGTTCAGTCTGTCAAATTATTGTGAGAAACTCTATGAAAACTGCAAGGCATTTATTCTTTTGATTGACGTTTTGAATAGAATTCATTAGCAGCATAATAGCATGTTCAATACACTATATTTTCTCTAAAAACTGTCTGGATAGTATCTATTTTTCGCTAGAAAAGATTTTAAACTTTGTTCTTCTCAGTTTTCTATAAATTTCCAGTGATAAAATAGTGTACAAAAATTCAGTATCTATTTTATTTCTCTGAAGAAAAGAGCGATATCTCTCCTTAAGCGTCAAGAAAGACAACTAAGCCTGGGAATAATGATAGCAATTAAAAGGATGATAAGGGTATTTTTATTTAGTTCCAAGATTTTAATTAAAAAACAATTTCCTGTATTTGATAGAACGGAGGTAGGGAAAAGCTAATAATATCGACGGTAGACAATAGATTAATTAAAAGCTGTTCGAATTCTACACAGTACTATTTCGACATGAACCCCAGGTTTTAGAATTTTTTTACTAAAATGATTCTTTACTATATTTACAAATCTCATTTCGAAACCTTGTCTTTTATTTCCAATAGCTTACTTCCATGCTAGGCATATACGCAAATAAGGTGTCTCCATATTACGTATGCGTAATTCCTCTTTTTTGGCTCGTTCTAGATGTGAAATGGAATATATCCAACTTGTTTTCTATTTGAGAGTTCATCTCTTATGTCTTATGGCAGCTTCAATAATAGAAAAGCGAAATATGATATTTATGTATTTCAACGAGATGCACTGAAAGAAGCACTATGTTCTTTTTACATTTGACGATTTCTATGATGAAATTTTACCACTTAAACAAAATAGTACCAAAAAATCACCTGAATGCATAATCGGTTAAAAAATTTGTATTTCACAACTCAAATTTCGATTTAGGTACAATATATTGCAACAAGGGAATTAATTATTTTTTTAAGCACATTCAAGTTTTAGCTTTGTTACTATTTACTGCTCACTCAAAAGTTACAAATTCTATCTAACGTATAAAATAGTATTTCAGTGGAATCGTCAACTTAGAATTTCTAAGACAACATAGTTTGTTATGGTTCTTATATTAGAGAGTAAAATGGTGACTTAATTATAGTTTGCGTAGTTGTTCCTCTGCTCTATTTACATTAACCAATTTAGTAATTATTTTATAAAATAAATATATGATAACTAAGAATAGACACCGACAGTGAATAACAAATAATGTCCTTACTCGTATGTTTTTGGTAAACAGTACCTGGAAGTAACTCAAAAACTAAAAATAAGTATTGTGTAACCACTAGGAGCTTTTTATAAATATTTGTAGAATATTTAAGTCGCCTCTTATTAGTTCCAGTCTCAGATAAACGCATTTTGCATAAAATAGACTTTTATTTTATTGTGGAAGTGCTGACAATCTGACGAATTGAATAGACACGTATTACATTGTAAAACCATCATTTCTGACCTGTTTTTTTTTTTGAAATGTTAAATTGATTCACATCGATTGTAATACATCATTAGAAATAAGTTTTCCAAGTATTGTCTGTAATTATTTATTTGTGAAAAAAATAAATTCATAAAATCAACCGTTGGATTGATCCTTTTCGGTGCAGAGTTAATTATTTTTTTTCTTTTCAGTATAACAGAAATATGCAGTTAAGTTCTGCCGCTAAAAATTGAAAACTGAACTGTGATTTAAATTCCCATACAACAAATCTTCTAAATTACTGTTACCACAGAGCAACACAGGAATTGAATAATTAACACGGCCATTACTGAAGTACATTTAAATTGTATCAGAGACTTTTAGATGAATGTAACAGACTCGGCCGGCACAAATTCAACGTGTCAACTCAAATCGTCCACATATATTTCCTTTCGGTGTCCCGAACAAATTACACCATCTAAATGTTCCATGTGAGCTGCCCAAGTTAATATAAAATTAGTGTCTTTGGAACAATCCATTTGAGGTGGTTTTCCGTGTCTCAGGAATTTATTGAATATCAGCCAATATTCTCCACCGGATCAAATAAAGGGGCGAAATTGAAATTTTCTGAGGCTTCATTTAGGAGGATATTATATTGGTCGGATTTTATGGATAGAGTTAGAGTTAACGTAAACTCTTATGGATGAAATATGCCTTTGTCGTCGTACTTTCATAAGAAGACATTATTGGAAGCTTATACAGTTTGTGTAGAAAATATCAGAACTTAGAGAAATGAATTTATAACAGCTGATTTGTTTCAGAAATATCTTCCTTGTCAAAATAACTTAGATTATAAATCAGATCGATCGTATACTTGCACTTGTTCCTAGAGCAACAAAGTTTTTTAATCAAAGATAGTCGAATGAGCAGATTCATTTATCTGCTATATTAAATATATTTTCTCAAATAGTACAAAAAACGTATTTTTACGTTTTACTCATTGTCAGAACAAAAGTGATGTATAATATAATGACAAAGGCCATTATGATAATACTTCTGGACATTACCATCATTGATAGTAGCATTGGTACTCTAGAAAAATGTGTATTTACTCGGTTTGTGAAGAATATCGAAGAGGAAAATTAATTTCAAGGCTTATTATCTGTGTCCTTCAGATATTCCTATTTTATTCGCGTGAGGCCTGAGGCAGCAGGTTTTCTGGAAGAATTACATATCATTGAAAAACTCATTTCAAGATATATCTAATAAAAAGTCAAGGTGGCTGCCACAACAAAAACAAATGAGAGATGGTATGAAATCATGGATAATGGATTCTTCTTAAAAAAATGACTTAATAAAAAATTTAATCAAATGTATATGGAGGAAAACCATCTTGATGTTTATAAAAAACCAAGTGAATTGTAATTTTTATTCAAAATTATGAAATCCTGCAGAACAATAGTAATTTAAGGACGTTTATCTTTTTAGTAACTAAGCTGATACTAACGCTGGTAAATTTGGGATAAATATTGCGATTTTTTATGAAAAAAATAAAGATATTGCCATCTTATTAGTATTTCTGCTAGTGAATCATTAAGTCAAGTAGCCTAATGTTTTTATATAATGTTGAACTGTAAACTGAGAAAATTCGTCATTTAACTTTGAAAAACAAATCTCTTTTATGAACCTACATAATTGCTATTTATTAATATGATACAAAATTTAAAGATCTAATTATTTTTATTTTTCTAGTGTCTTCCCAATCATGGCTTAAAATGACATTTATCTACTGCTGTGTGATTTTATATCAAAGTCAAATCGAGTTACTTAAAACTAATATCAAGACTATTGCGGAAAAATCAAATTATACACAACACAACACAAATTCCAGTTATAGTAATCCTACAATTCAGCTGATCCTTAATAATCTGACAAGGATAAAGCTATGAGGGGAAGTATGAAAATGTAATATCATCTACATGCAAGCTTGTAGAATCGTAAATAAAATATTCTCTCTGACTTTTCAGTTGGAGTTTGGGAAAACTGATTTTGCGAATTTAAAAGAATGAATTTTTTGTTGAAATATTTTTTAAGGGAAACAGGTCCTATTTCAAATTAACATGTCATAAAAAATAATTGCTTTATTATGTAAAAGCATTTACTGGTTATATTGAATAAAATATTCATTTAGGGTGAAAGTACGAGTGTTTTTGTCTCTTATATTTAAATAATAATTTTTGAAGTTCCCAATGTTTAAATTTTAGATTAGAGGAAATTCAATTATTTCATTTATGTGGGAAATTTCTTAATTTGAATCAAATCCACTCTTAAATTTAAACTAAATTTAATGTAGAAATTATTACATTTACAACAAAAAAAAAATAAACCTATGAATAAATACTCAAGTTATATTATCAAAGGATACAATTAACAAAGAACAAAAGCAACCAAAAATGAAACTACATATAATGCTAAACTATTCTCCAATTTCAAAATTAGAAACATAGCCAAATATTTTAGCTAAAATTAAAAATATTCAAAATACGCATTTCAAATTTTCTAAGAAAATTAGGCCGTTCCTATATTTTGTAAATATATGTACACGTAAATTTTGAATATAATACAAATGTTCAGCTGTTCTAAATTCTGAAGAAGTATTTCCATGCCAGCAACTGTACACATTGTTAACTATAACTTTATTTATTAAGAAAGGAAACACAATTTAGTGACTTCTGTATTCATGTCTTGATCAGATCAACACGTGATCTGCCTTGCAGAAGTTTGTTTAGAATATCCACCCTCTTGACTTCCCTGACACCTTATTCTTGCGGCATGGCCAAGAAAATTATTAGTAATATTAATACAATAATTTAATTAGTTTCAGCTAATTGAAAACCATTTTGAAATTTGTAATTTGAAAGAAAAGGAGTGTTATTCAACAAGATATGAATTCAAAACAATGTATGATATCTGTGTAGTAGATTAAATTAAATATTGTCCTCAAGAAGCCACTTTTTCGGACAGGCTGGATTGTAACTTCGTTTTCTCCGATATAACAATTGTAGCATAAAATAACACGTCACTGAAAAATTAATTAGGCTAATTGAGAGATTAATGGAGTCAATCATTTTTCAATAACATCCGAGGAAGAAGCTACTTTTCCTTCATTCTTTTTCAGTTGTGTTACTAAACATGCACTTTATTTTCAGACAAATGCACCATGTACGGACTGATAATCGAGAACATGTCGGAGTACATCAAACAAACGTATGGCGAGGACAAATGGGAAGAAATAAGAAGGGCCGCGGCAGTAGACCAACCCAGTTTCAGCACGCATCAAGTCTATCCTGAGGGATTGTTGCCGAGACTTTCCAAGAAGGCCGTACAGGTAAAGTCTTTACTGCAATATTTTATTCAACTATTTCTTGACATAGGTAAGTGTGCCAAGGATGTATTTGATATATCCATGAAAATAATTAACGGTACACTGAATTGTATCAGGAGAATAAATTTTTGATGTTTTTACTTTGACAAAAACGTCCGTGTAAAATCATGTGCGATACATCATTTCAAAGGATATTTTACACAGATTTTCATCAAAAACATTTTTAGTGTGCTTCTAATGCAGCACGCTTTTTTAATAATAAATTTAATTGAAAATCGTGAAATATACAGGGTGTCCCATAAGCTATTGACTGTCACAGTTCTTGAAAAAGAAATATGTTTTTTGTAATATCTGGAGAATGTTATGATGGATTTTAATGAAACTTGCTGTGGACTTGTTCCTAAGTAAGACTCATGTTTTGATAAAGCAACCGCGTCCATCCGCCTTGAGCTAGTGGTAAATTCTTGAGTGTCGTGGTACAAGAATTACCAGAACTTTTTATTTGATCGCTGGAATCAATTCATTTTATTTTTACTGATGCATCAGTCCTTTTTCGAGATTTTCGTGCACTTGGTAAAATCTTGTAGCACTCATAGTTTTTACGTAAAAAAATGTTTTCAATTTTAGTCAATCTTTATCGCTACTACTCAAGTACAACAAATAAACACTACAATCACTACTATCGTAGTAAGTATCTTGGTAAAATCTTATAGCATTCATAGTTTCTACGCAAAAAAATGTTTTATGTTTCGTTGCAACTTAACAATTTTAGATATAGGTATCGCAGTAAATTTGCCCTTTTACAAAAATCAGCTTTCTATAATAATAATTGCCAATTCTTTTACCTAGGATATCAATATTGAAAGTAAAATGGTTGCAATTTTAAAGTTTGTTGCAATGGGACGGATTGAATATCATTTTATTTCATTAGATTTATTTTTTTAACACTCGAAAAATGTAAAGACGTACGTAAGAAAAACAAAATTATCTTTATTGAAACTGGATGATAGTTACATGTTCGATATGCTCCCCATTTTCTTGAATGCATAGCTGGATCCTTCGATTGAAATTGAATTGAGCCCTCCTCAACATTTTTGGATCATTCCGTAATACTAACTGATTTTATTTTGTCTGCATACTACATATAATATTTTGTCCTCTGTTATTCGAAATTATACTTTCTACTTGTTTGTTTCCTTTTATTGCCAAAACTCGAACACGAGTATGAACGCTCGAGAATCTCGTCTCAACTAAGTTGGAAATATTTCTGGGTAGAATAAATACCCTTACATAATGCGTGTAAGCTTATCAAAAAATACATATATTAACTTTGTTAAGCTTACGTAGGATTAAGTCTTTTCATCCAAAACAATTTAATCTGGTGCTGACGCATTGTTGTAAATAAAAATTCAGTTCAAGTTCTGCCTTTTCTGTAAACATCTTTTTGTAGCATTTGTGCCAATTTATCACGACCACTTATTTTATGTTTTTTCAGGTGTTTACTTAGTGCTGCAGCCACTTGTTTTAACCGTAAATTCGTTTCATAAAACTTTTTCAGCTGCATAAAAAAAGATAAAAATATATGTGTACCTCGATAGATTCCAAGACGTTTTACCGAACTTGTATATGTATTGGATTATATTGTAAGTCACCCTATTCACGATATGACGGGTTTCACAATTTCTTTTATCATTCCGATTCGGAATTTCAATGTACCTTAAAATAAATTGTCGAACTGCAAAAGAAAAGATATATTCAAGTTTTACTCTCTTAAGTGCTTAAGGCACACACATATTAATGTTGTGTGGTAAAGTTGAACTTTATCGGTTTTCGCAGTAACGCAAAACTATAAACTTTATCAAAGCCTTCTTATGTTCCTAAATTTATTTCATGGAAAATATTGACAAATATTTTTATGACCATAACTTTTGTTGCAATGACTTCGGGAAACCGTAATATTCCACAGGAACTTAATTCACTTATTTATGTTTTAAACGATTCCTTAAGACCCTTTTATTTACATTTCTCTAAGAACTAATGATTAAAGAGGGAATCATTTTGTATTAGTAGCGTATACAAAATTTAAATGTATTGAATTATTTTAACTTGCCGCTATACTATTCAAATTCCAAGATGTCTAAAAGATCCCACGAATATTTTATTCTTATTTTCTTATGCTTATATAATAATAAAAACAGTAAAATACATAGACATAGGTATGTATAAAGTAATACATAACAGAAACTATAAAGTTATATTATGTATTTGTTGGAAATATGTGAGCATAGTAATATATATATAAATATTACTAACGAATATTATTATTGCAACATAATTGGGCGTGGACTCGTTTTAGCAAAAAATTGTGTTGATTTTGAGAAAAATTTAAAGTGCTTATATCATTCCCTTTCAGCAAAATGATAAAAAAATAAGGGAAACATGCTAATCTGAGCTTTTGGATATTACGTAAACCCCTAATAACGCGTGAATTGAATCCCCTATCAAAATATAGGTTAGCTTAGAATAATGTGGTAGTCTACTAGACTAGTTTGTAGTGGAATGAACTTAACGTCGGCGGACTTTAATTGACTTCAGTGGCAATTAAGTATATTTATGGCAGCATCTCGAATACAATTTGTGATTGAAGGGGATCACGCATCTCTAGACCATGGTTATTTATACCTAAACTGGTTTAATTACTGCGTTTCTATTCAGTTGTTATAGTAGCTACCATTAAGGCCCATTGATGTAAAAGAATACAAATTTGTATAAATATCAACGTAGACTTCTACAATTAAAACGGAATTAAAAACAAAAATAAAGAAAATCAATACGATTTTTACTTAAGCTTTAGTCTTTACGTATATTTAATGTTAGTCAAGTAATGTATGAGGTGTTTTGTAGGGAAGAAAGTCGGATTTAAAAATGTCTATGTCGGCTCCTTTTTTGTAGCTTGTTGTTCGTTATTCTCCTAAAGATATTTAGTTGAAAACAGTTAAGCCATTAAATGTTTATCTTTGAAAACAAAAACAGTTTCCCGCAGAAATGACGCCCATAATTCAGGGAAATGTAAACATTTGAGACAAAAATAGTTTCCAAGACAACGATTGTAAAAAATGGCGAATGCGCTGGTGTTTGCAATAGACTAATTAAGAATGTTTGTGCTTTCTTTATTAATGTTTGATTATTGATATAATCCAGAGTGTTCGAAATATTTCTCCCTCTCATTTTTTACAAAAATAAAATCTACTTCGTGTTTTTAGAATTTTAAAGTACATTTCTCAACAATGCTGTACTGCAAAAATACTGAGTAAAAGGAAATTACTAAGACTGAAATCTGGTCTGATGATTTTAGTTGGTGTTATTTTTCTCAATTAATAAAAAGTAATCATTATTCATTTCACAATTTGACAAAAGTATCCAACCAAATTTCAATTTTTTATATCTAGTTGAATATGTCTCATATGAGTTATTTTCAATCTTTTACAAAAAAAACACAAATCGCTTATTTTAGAAATTATGTTATTCATTAAATGATTTCTTAAACAAAAGTATATTAAGATAAGATAAGATAAGTAAGATATATTTAAACTGATTTTGTACTATATTGAAAAGTCTTTCTTATTTCTTCAGAATAAATATGTTTTATTTGGCTAAAATTTTATTTTGATTTGTTAAGGCCTTCTACTTATATTATTTTATTTTATAAATAAACCATTCAACATATTATTGAAATATACTACTTTTTTTAATATTTTCTCTATTTTCTCAGGTAAGCGTTTTTTTTTTCAAATTTGGTTCACTTACTACTTGTGATACGTAGCGCCTACGAAAAATGTTGTACAAATTCTAAAGGACCAGACAGGTTAAATGGTCCTTTAAGGCTACATTCGTTTATCTTCAACAATTTTTAACCGTCGGGTAAAATTGTGAAATAGTCCACCTCACCCATTGCGTAAGGTCGAAAACATTTTAATTTGCGTGAAGAGAACAATAATTTAAGCATACCGATGTACATTACTCTTTAGGGTCCTAAAAAAACTCATAAAAGTAGTCGTAAAAAGATTCTTTCAGTCCAAGTCAGTAGCATTAATTATTCAAAAAAAAATGAATGGGGCCTTCTTTATGTATTCCACGATTGTGAGCGTTGAAATGATCTTTAATATGTTGTTTTAAATTAAAAAAGTCGTTTAACTGAAAAATACAATACAAAATATTAATAAAAATCATAACTTTTAAATGTAATAGGAATTTGTACCTACCATTGTTTTAAGTAAGTACTAGTTTTTTAGTGACACTGATGTATATTATATTTTATCACAATAACATTGCACCATATTTTGTTGAGCTACTGATGACAATAAAAGAATTGGCTGTTGTTAATTAAAGTCGTGTTTACCTTCTTAAATTAAATTTTAACTTCAAAATACTGAAGTACCTCTAATTAGCATAATATAACTAAACAAAACGAAAAAATCATGTCGCTACTTATATCCCATGTGAATTAAAGTTCTTTTATCTGCAATCACCTTATAATGGAACTTTTAACCACACATATGAACCGTCTAAAGTTATATTTTATCCACTTGTGGAATAACGTAACTTTATTTCACAAGTAGAATAAAGACAAAATAATAAACCTATAATAAATCAAATTCCCTGGATTTCGCTTACAATAAATGGAAAATTGCTTCTTAAGCTTCTTAAGCTTCCTCAAAAACAGCCACAGGAACACAATTACTTTCTTGCATTTTTATCAAATTCAGATAGAACTATTTATTAAGTATTTGATAATAATCCACGTACCACAGCAACCAGTAGGTATAATAAAGCCTACCACGTTTCATTGAGTACTAGAAAGAAATATCAAGTCTTGCGAATATTTTTTTATTAAATTCCAATAATTCTGATTCCATAAATATGATTGTGATGTGATTATGGATAAAACGTTGTATTGCATTCGTTTTAATTGCCTTTTATCCACTTAAGAATATTAAACGCTCGATCTACGTTTTCGCGTTTAAACATTTTTGCGAGGAAAAAATGCTACTTAAAGCACTTAGGTATACAATAAATAACTATGCTATTATGAAAGGAGTTAGAAATAAAATATAACAATGTAATTTGCTATTATCTAGACATGAATACTGAATAGAACCTATCTCAAGAAAAGTTAAGCCGCAGACGAAGTTTAATATAAAATCTGCCATTCTATGCATAAAGTAGCTCTAAATTCCTTATAAGATATCATGGAAATTGTAAGTGGTGCGTTATATTAAAACGTTTCCATTTTCTAATTCAAACGTATAGTTTAATAAAAATGCCTAGTAGCTCTACAGACATAGTTAATGGAAATTAAATCAACAAATAGTCATTTATACGGACTATAAATATCTTTTAGCACTACGTAAAGTTAAAAATAATCCACATACATTAATAGCACACGAAGTGTGACAGACAGTTTAATCCCTTTTGAAACAGTTGCGGTAAAATGTTGTATTTAGTACAGCCCTAGGATTGTTGTTTTGATACGATTTGTTTGGATAAATTCAATAAAAGTAATGAACAAAATGAATAATGTATATTTAAATGTAAATTGTCAATACGATATAAACATATCGTATTATTGACCTTCGCTTTGAATTCTTTAGACCTTGTTAAAGCTTCTTGAGAAAATAAATGAAAATTCTTCGTTTTCTGCTAATGGAATCTTCCTTCATAAAGTCCTCACAAATCCTTGAGGTGCACACCTTAATATTAATCTGATATGGCTGATATATTTTTTAATATTTTAATTACACTATTTGCTAATTTTGTATTAATTAATATTTGTATTAATATTTGTTCAATTTCAATAAATTACGATTTCTAACATCAATAAAACACTGTCACTTTCGGTTACCGATATAAAAAACAAAGTTTTGTATATAAAATTATGATGAGTGTTCATGACTTAATTTGATTTAAATAAAAACTTTTTGTATTTACCTTATTAACTCCGCATAACTAGATAACCAATTTTTTATCAAAAACTTTTAAACCTGCTCAGGCTTGAGCTTCTAGAGACTTTGAACTTTAATTTTATCGGTTTATTTCTGCGCTAAGTGATGTATGGCTCAAATAAGTGTTGTAGGAGAAATTCTAGAATTCGGTGTTACAAGTTTCGACATCCCGAATTTGAATAAGTTATATGAGTTTAAAGTGAAAATAGACGTCTTATGAGCTTCGGAAGTTCTTAACAGAAACTTCAACGAGAAGATTAGACAGATTACTCAGTGGAGGAGACTCTGCTATTATAGAGAGGAATATAATCCCTTGATACTAAAAATAACACAGTATAACTTAAGTAGGTACATTCAATACTTTAGAAAACGCGGAGGAATAATAATTACTATGTAGAAAATTCAGAGGAATTACTTCTTTATCAACTATTTTAATGTCTTCTGATGAAGTTTCATTTTTTTTTATAAAAAATTAATGTAATTGAACTACGATTATTAAACACCTGCGTACGTTCAAGCTTAGTGTGATTAAACGGTGGATCCGCCCCTACAGAATCTAGCCCGAGAACAACAAGGGCGGGGCAAAGATTACTATCTATGGTTACGGAAGTCTGTAAGTGGTGGCTTCGATAAAATCAATGGTTTGTTCGGTATTAACAATTTTATATGTTTTAACTTTTTTAATACTTAATTGATTCACAGCCCCACAAAAAAAAAGTATCGAATCTGGTATTCAGATCCATGTATTTCCATGTATTTTTTCCGCTGAATCCGAATCTGCCTTCAGATTTGGCCCAACGGATCTGAGCTTTCGAGAAAATTAAAAAAACAGGTCAAAATTCACAAAAAACGTAATTTATGATCGACTAACCTTATAAAAAATAAAATTATTCTACCAGCTCACTAGACGTATGATTTTTCACTCGTTTAATTCCAATTTATCATCATAGAGTCAAACTGGTCCAATTTCATTCAAAAACAAAAAACAGATCAAAAACGCCATTTTCTTGGCATAATTCATGTTGCAGAGTTCTGGATCCATCTTTTTATCCACCCACCTATTTATGAATTCAAACATCTTTCTGTCCAGTCGTTCATGCTTGAATACGCATATTTATTCATCCACCTGTACCACCTATAAAACCCCCCCATCCACCTATCTATCCATCTACTTTTTGTACAGAGAGATGAGATAACAGCCTAGAAGATTGAGAATGCAATAAAACTTGTACTACTCTACTTTCTAAACAAAAGAAAACGATATCTACAAATCATTCTTATTTTTATTGCTATAACGTGTTGTGTGTGAATGATTTGTAGATATCGTTTTCTTTTGTTTAGAAAGTAGAGTATTCTACAAGTTTTATTGCATTCTCAATCTTCTAGGCTGCTATCTCATCTCTCAGTCTCTCAGTACAAAAAGTAGATGGATAGAGGGGTGGATGGGTAGGTTTTATAGGCGGTACATGTGGATAATAGAAAGATATATGAATTGATAAACGGGTGGATGGATAAAAATATGGATCCAGAACTCTGCAACACGAATTATGCCATGAAAATTGCGTTTTTAATTCATTTTCTGTTTTTGAATGAAATTGGACCAGCTTATCTGACCCTATGATGATAAATTGGAATTAAACGAGTGAAAAATCATACGTCTAGTGAGCTGGTAGAATAATTTGATTTTTTATAACTTGTCGATCGTAAATTACATTTTTTGTGAATTTTGACCTGTTTTTTGAATTTTCCCGAAAAGTCGGACTCGTTGGGCCAAATATGAAGGCAGATTCGGATTCAGCGGAAAAAAAATACATGGAAATCCATGAGTCTGAATACCAGATCCGATGCTTTTTTTTTGTGGGGTTGTGTTATTTTTTAAAACATGTTACACTGTTAAATAAACACTATTAAAGAAGGAGCTAAAGGACAACAATATAATTGTTTACATGTTCCGGTGAAATTTCTGTGTTTTTTATTAAAATATACATAAATTATTGTGTTTTTAAAAACCATGTATTTTCAAATAATTTGTTGCATTAAATGAGAGTCCGAAATAACAAATACATTTATTTCATGCAATACAATGTTTTATTTTTTGTTTCTTTTTAATTTCAAAATGTTAATTTAAATAAAAAATAATCCCAAAACTAAATTAATTAATAACAAAAAAATACACAGCAAAAGTATCCTCACTTATCTCTAAAATGGGACAAATTGAACATTAGAATGATATTTTAAGAATTGAACGAAGTTGTAGAACAGTCTCTTTATTGTTCTTTAATAGCATTTAACAAACGACTAGCTTTACTAACTTTACACTACCTACTACTCCTGTGGATAGCACAAATTTAAAATACGTCTTTCGATTTCTAAGAAACAGTAATGCGAATGTCAAGTGGCACACCCTGTACATACTTACATTTATTAAGACGATAATGTGCATCATATACAAATCCTTGTTAATCTTTTCAGATCCTGAAAGTCAGCGAAAAGGAGTTCTTCGACCAGATGGGCGTGTTCTTCATAGGCTTCGTCAGTCAATACGGCTACGACAGGGTGTTGTCAGTGTTGGGCAGGCATATGAGGGATTTTCTGAACGGGTTGGACAATTTACACGAGTACTTAAAGTTCTCGTATCCCCGCATGAGGGCGCCTAGTTTTATCTGCGAGAACGAGACCAAGCAGGGGCTGACTCTGCATTACAGGAGCAAAAGAAGAGGGTTTGTTTACTACACCATGGGGCAAATTAGAGAGGTAAGTCGGGCTTAGGTTGTTTATTGGACTTCATTCCAATCAAATAAGAGAATAAAGTAATAGGGTTGACCAAAAAAACATTACATTACTATATTTTTTCCGAAACATTCGCTTGAATTACTACATCAATAATTCTTGGAATCAGAACTACAAATTATGAATAGAATTATTTCATATATACAGGGTGTGGCGTGTATAATCTATAAAAATTAAACTGCAGCTTCCTGATGATATTTGTAATACAAAAGTCTTATGCGAAAAAGTTCTATCTTCGCGTTTTTTTTTTGTAAATTAAAGTTCATTTCTTCAACGAAAATGAAGGCCGACCCTGTGTTATTTATTAAAAACTTTGTTCTATTTAAATGAAAAAATTTCATTTATTACACGATTATAATATGATTATACAGGGTGTCCGGTAAGTACCTCCTAATCTCTCGGGAGTGTATAGGGGAGGTCAAAATAAAACTAGTCCTTCCTATAATTTTTTTTCCTAATGTGCCCCCTAACGGAGTTATGGGGGGTCAAAGGGGTACCTAGAAATTAACGTTTAGGGTTATAACTTTGAAACCACCCTGTATATTTTAATAAAATTTTCGTACGTTGTATTACACATGGAGCTCTACGATTTGATGCTAAAATCAACTTTTTGCTATTATCAGGTGTCCAGAAACGGACTGGCCCTATCACAATTTTTCTCAAAATTTTGACAGAAGTAATTTTATCAAACTGAAAATATTATTATTAGATACTCTGAAGGTTTTTCTTTAAAAATGGTACTCTTTATTTATTTCGAAAAAATGAACGGTTTGCGAGATAAATCGGTTTTGAAAAAAATTGGTAACAAATACAACAAC